AGCCTTCTTTGACATTTTTCCCCCTGGCCAAGTTGAAGGTCTCTGCTCAGAGTTCTGCACTTCTTTGGCTTACTCCATCATGGCTTTCTTATAGCACAATATTCTCCTGGTACCTTGCCTTTCTTCTAAACTACCTGTTAGGTTCTGAAAGGCAGAGATCATACCTGTCATTGGTTTAGCTCAAGTACCCATTTGATGCCTGGTAATGGTAGGATTGTCACCTATTAGCTGAATGCAAATTTGGAAGAAGGAAATGCATGTTGCTTTAGCTGTTTCCAAGGGAAAAGGAAGTTGTTTTGGAAAGGGGAAATCTGAGACAGGCTGCTCAATAAAATTTAAAGCAATTACATTTTCCTTGATATCCAATAACAACTTAATTTCTTGAATTTATTTATATTATCTTAATAAAGTCCTACTTGATAATATCTTTCTAGTCTTCTACCTGGGCAGGTTTCTTCTTTCAATCTAGACAACTGGACCATTTTAATGTTTTCCATATATAAGCATAAACTGTATTTATTTCTAAAATGGTAAAATGATGAATTTATAATGAAAAAATATTCACCAAACACTACGCTTAATTATTTTGTTTTTGTCTAAAACAACAGTGTTGCTAAGGGCGTTACTGGTTTGCATCACTGCAAATATCTTTTTAAAGACATTAAATTTTCAATACCAGTGAAAGCTATGGACTTACATTTCATATTAATGTTTTTGAGTTTCTTTGGTTGCCTCAAATTTTGCTTTCAGAATGACCACCCTAAAATCAGATCATGTTCATCAAATGGATTTGCCCTCAGTTTCCTCTGTTTATTTGCTTTCCCCAGTGAAATCATGTACCTGGGAATGGAAGGAATAAATAACCCAGTTACCATATTTTTACAGTGTTGGGTTCAATCAGAGCTGTTGTATAATACAAGTCCATGCTGTTCTGTTCTGGAAACATCTTACATATTTATTTCAGTTTGATTCAAGCCACATTCCCTAAATAATGATAAATATATCTTGAATGATTGCTCAATACTAACCCGAGCTTCTTTTTCATGAGCATGCTAGAAATACAACAAATAAGATAATTATGAAAGATGAAAATTTGGAGGATTCAAGATGAATTTCTGTGGTAGGTGCTATGTTCATATTTCATGTCATGTCCTTCTAACTCATAGCAACACCTGGAAATTAGAAAACCTCTTCTCCAATCAGTGTTGACTATCAACCCTTCCTTGAATTTGTTGCTAAATAAGATAACAAATAGGTTAATCAAATGCAGCAGGAAACTATAATAAGAGAAGGAAGCACATCAGGATCTTGAGTAGCATGGCTCAATATCCACTTGAGTCAAGTGTCTAGTTTATGGCAAGCATCAGAAGCAACATACGGAATACCCATGTCTCAACATCACCACCTGCTGCTTGGTCCAGATTCAAACAGCTATGTCTCAATAATGTGCTGCTCACATTTCCTCTGGGTGAGAAACCTAGTCGTGAGCCTGAGATCATCAGCTGTAAGCCAAGTTAAAACGCAACGAATCACACCCCTGGAGCCATAGGGCAAATGCACTGGGGAACTGTTGTCAGCTGGACAATTAAGGGATCATTACATTGTTATGGAATCTAACAAGTTGGAAAATGTATTGGCTTACAGGCTTTTTGTATATTTTGCTCTCTGTTGGATCTACAGCCATCAGAACAATGCCCGGCACATAGAAGTTGCTCCATAAACAGTTACTGAAAAATTGAATATCAAAAGACAAAGAGCACTTATTGTCATTAATTTACCAAATCATTCGACAACTTCAATAAAAGGAATTATTTATCCTATGTAAAATTGGTAGAGAGAGGAATGAACAAAAAAGAAAGGAAAAAAGAGAAAAGGATTTCTAGATGATTGTACCCATACATACATAATAAAAGTCAGGATAAATATAGAAATACATATGACATAAAACTTAATAGTTCATTCTGCCCACAAATTTTGTCAGTCATCCCTTCCTATATTAAAAAATTCAAAGAAATTAAAAATATAGTTTTAAAATCCCACATTTCACCTTCTACTAGCAGACATTCATAGTTTCCAATTGACTCAGTTACACATTAGCCAGGACACTAACATACTTTTTTTGACGTTGACATTTGACACAGAAATTGCAAAAGAATATTGACATAGCTTCAACTAATTTCAAGTAAGTTCATTCACTGAAAAAAATAATTCCATTTACCAGGAGTAGAATTGGTTTTGAGTAAAGTAACTTTTAAAAGCTCCAAATGTTCACTTTTTTTCCTCTGCAATAGTAACATCCAGATTTTCTTAGGTGGGGAGAAAAGGCCTCCCTGGGTCTCTGATGCTCTGACACTCCTTACTGGTATACCAGGAATGCATGACTTTGAAACCTTTTTATCAGGGCCATTTCTCAGTGTTGCAGCTAGCAACCTTCAGAGTTAAGGTACTGTCTCCCCCTGAAACAAAGAGCAGGTTGGCTTACTGCTTGCTATACACAGCATATTTCCCAAACTGAGGGCTCTTCTCTTGAACCTCATGCTCTGTGGGTGCAGGCATCCACCCAGGCCCATCTGCAGCACCCCAGTGGGAATTGGGGCTTAGGGAACTGATGTGGCACACTGTCACTCAGCTTCTGCTTAAAAAAAAAAAAATTTCAACTCTGACCTTAAAGCTGTGACAAGTTACCATGTAAGCTTGAAAGTAGGGTAAAAATCTCATATTTCTCACAGTTTTTGAGAGCACCTAAAAATGGGATTGGTCATAACTAGAAAACCCTGCACCCTAAAATACAACAAAGAAAAATTTCTCAAAGGGAAAATTCAGAGCTTCAGAGATAAATAATTTTTGTAAATTCAAAATACTCCTCCACTAGTGTAAACAAAACTTTTAGCGTAGAAAAAAAGTCTTCAAAAAGGATTTTGAAATTCTACTAATTATTAAAATCCACCCTCTTATTTATTTATGAGTGTTATACAAAAAACTGGGTAAAGTGGTAAGATTTTTGTAAAATTTGGAAGTTCTACAATATAAATGAAAAAGAAAAATACCATTTAGAAATCCTGAGAGGAGTTTCCTTCTTTAGCTTCAATGGATTTACCCACTACATCTTTTATTGTTTCTTAGTAGGATAGTGAAGAATTCATGTCAAGAGTCATGATTAAGCATCCATTTTCCAAACTCCAACTTCTATTTTAGCTGAGGTAAAAGTACCCATCATCTTTCACCTTGAGTTCTTAGATTTAAAGTTGGAAATTATTTGCTTGATGATTTAAAATGGGAGAATGAATTCTAAACCTTTCTGAGTACCACTTGGCTGTAGAAAATGCTATCACATGGAAATCCCAGCTGAGTTTGAAATTTGAAAAGTTAGCATGCCGTGCCATTCAAATGGTGAAATGGGGAATCAAGAAATCAAATCTTCAAGGTTAAGAAATGTGGATTTTTTTTTCTCTGGATCTGACTTGTACTGCTATATGAGTTTGGGAAAGCAACCACTCTTCTCCTTCACCTTTCCCATTCCCTTCCCCATCCTTCTCCTCCTCAGCTGTTTCTTTTCAAAAAATCTTTCAACTATGACCTACAAGTCATGTGTTTTCTGTCAGTATCCACAAAACTGTGACAAATTAACATGTTCTTTTTCTTAAACATTTATAAGAGCTATTCCTTCTTTCTAACAACCAGGAATAATGTCAGGAGAAAAACCTCCATGGCAAAGTATCAAATAATGAGAGTAAAGAAAGCAAGCATAATGGGGAGAGAGAGAGAGAGAGAGAGAGAGAGAGAAACAGAGAGAGAGAGACAATGACAAAGACAAAGACAAAGACAGAGAGACTCTGTTTAGAGACTACATTTTTCCAAGGCTATAAACTATAAGGCTTGTAGTGTAAGCATTGTTTTATAGCAACACGTTCTATAATTGTTTTCCTTAGAAACAATAATAATTGACTTACAGATGACCCATTCATTTTGTAGATTGAACATGTGATGTAAATTTAAGTCTTTTATTTTGCTGAAGACAAACATAACTGGCACTTAACATCTACTTAGTTCAATACCTCCTGTCATATACTATAGCCGTTTCTTTGTTTCCTCTCTTAAAACAATGAATCCCCAAACAGTACGTAAATATTTCTTTAACATTTTTACTGTAATTCTAGCACCTCTATTTTAGAATCTTACTGTTCATCATTTCAGAAGTTTCTTAGTAAAGAAGTTCAAAATTAAGTCACTATTTGTATTGTACTAGGTGCTGTAATTTTAGATTACAGACTTCCCATTCATTGCCTGTCACATTGTCTAGTTTTAAATAACTTAATAAACAATTCCAATACAAAAGTTTGAAGGTATACATTACATTGGTAAGAGTAGAAAAATTTTCAAGTCAGATCAACAACTTTATCTACTGAACCCTATTCAAGAAATGTGAATGTGTGCACACCACCACACAAGATCACCTGGCACACTCAGTATGGAGTACGTCCATGAGGAGAAGCAGAACCACTTGTCCAATTCAAGAACATGTGATGATGTTCCACAGTAATGCTTCCCATTGGCTCACTTAAAAAGGGAAGGCCAAGGCAGAATGATTAGGCTGAGGCACTCTCTCCAGCCTTATCATTTGCATGCAGAAGTCTTGCAATATTTATGTATTTCTACCTGATAAATGGAAGGCAATTTAAAAAAGAACAAAGGCCTTTTGGTAAAATTTTCAGGGTTTTCTTTTTAACCTCAATGTATTTTATAATAATTCCTTTCTCTGTAAGAAATGTCACAATGTGAGCACAAGTTCCCCATACACAGACCCTGGCAGTTCTTAAGGCTCTGCCTTTTTTAAAAGTAATTTATTACATGTCAAAGCACACAGCTTATTAGTTTTGAGAAACAAATAAAAACTCTTCATTGGTGTTACTGATTTTGAAATTGTGCATGAAGTTCTGATTTCTGTGATATGCCCTGGTCTGCCTGATTACCTAAAATTATCATCTTGACTTCATACTGACCTTGTTAGCACTGTTAAAAAAATCATTTGCCTTTATTAACCAAGTTTTCCTTTCCACCGTGAGTTGAGCAAACTCTTCTTGAAGCTGATTCAGTTTCTGGGTAGAGAGCTGTAGATGATCTCTCTCTGCACAGTCCTTTGATGGCGGAATCCCCAATGCCTCCCTCTTCAGCTTTTCCACAGCGGAATTCCATTCCTGCAAGAAAGCATTCTCTTTAGTGACTGCATCCATGCTCCTATTATGGACTGAATGTTTGCATTCACCCCCAATCTGTATCCTGAAATCTAATCTGCAATGAGATGGTGTTAGAAGGTGGGGCCTTTTGGAGGTGATTCGGTTATGAGGTGGAGTTTTCCTGAATAGGATTAGTGCCTTTATAAAAGAGGCCCAAGAGAGTTCCAGTCCTCCTTCTACTATGTGAGGGTAAAATGAGAAGCTAGCAATCTGCAGCCCAGAAGTGGGTCCTCACCACAACCCAATAAACTGGGACTCTGATCTTAGCTTCTAGCCTCTTGAACTGTGAGTAATAATTTTTTGTTTATAAGCCACCTTGTCTACGTTATTCTATTACAGCAGCTTGAATTACAACACCCCCTTTTGTAATCCCTGCTAAGATTCAGAGAATATTTAGATGGGTTGAATGTATCACCAATCTGTCACTATATTTTCAAATAATGAAAGTATAATAAATGTTCTGGTGGTAAATGCAACCCTATGGGTTTGAGAACTAACACAAATAGACAAGGATTCAGAAAAGTGGTTAAAAAAAGGAGAGAAGATGAGAGTAGAAAATGGCTCAGAGTTGAGGTGAGTGACCGATGTTGCTGGACACAGGTCTCTTCCATTTTTGTTTCCTCTACTCAAAAACATTCACAAAATACAGTCAACAGCATTTTTCAAATCTTTAATTTATCTTAACCTATCTTTATGTATTTAAATATAAAGAAGTACCTTTCTTACAATTCAGTCTCTGTCTCTATGGGCAAATGTGTACAAAAAAGGAAGAGAAATTATGTACCTATGGCTGTTGTTTTGTGTCTTCCTACACGTAGAATTAAAATTAACATGTTATACATCACAAAATTAATACTTGGTAGTGTGCAATATTTTCTCCTTCCTGACCTCAGTTCTTTCTCTCTCAATTCATTCTTAATGATATATAAACATTTCAGGAAAAGAAAAGAGATAGCTTCCTACTTTATATGGCATGAGGATTAAAAAAAATATCCCAGCAAATAGAGAAGAATGTAAATAAGATTTGGAGTAAAACCAAACATTAACATTCAATTGAATTTCTCAAGGGAAACTTAAGTCTATTACCAAAGGACTAAAGCCAGATTTGGTTTCATAAAAATAATGAGCATCAAATTTTCTTGTACTCATCTCAGCTGAGATTGAATATTAAGCCAAGGCTATTCTAAAAGCATGAGAAATTTATCACCAGATTTAAAAAATCTCAGTCTGATTCCATCCAGGCTTGTTCCTATTATTAAGTTACACTTGTTACATTTTATTGCATGAAATAAGTATTATTTTAGTACATTTTATCATTATTATTTCCATTAATTTCATAAGGCATACTATGCTTTATGTACATGCCCTATGCTATAATAGATTTCTTGTGGAATATAACTTTCTTATATACTTACATCATGAAATTTATTACATATATACTGGTTCTATAAACACACGATATGGGAATAGTTTGAATAACAATTTGTTGATATCGAAGGTAGAAATTGTACATATTATTTCATGGAGTCTGTACCTGTTCTAGTATTTGTGCAAGAGAAAAGTATTTTGATCAATAGATAGAAGAATAAGGCCTGGCATTTTTTGGAGGGCCTGTTATAAAATTGAGGTTTGTAACTATAATCCTCAAAAATCCTTAGGTTACATCTTTAGATGTTATTTTTCCACAGACTCAGAACAATATGCTACTCAAGGTTACATATCCAATTAGTGGCAATCCCAGAACTAAATCATAGGTCTATTGTGCTGTCTTTTAGGATTTTGAGGATAGATTAAAAAATCTCCAAATTTCTCAGTGAGTACAAAAGCAATACTCCTAAACATGGATTAAGGGCTATGTGAGTTCTCAAGACCCTTCATTTTTTAAAGAGCTTCATGTCCCCACAAAAAAACAACTAAGACATGCCATGACATTCTTTCATAAAGCACTGTACATATCCCTCTCATTTAAAAAGCATTACTTTAGTCTATTGAGAATGAGCAGATATTTTTAAAGTAGTTAGTTCAATTCATAGCACACATAGTAGGCACTCACTAAGTATCACTCCCACTTTCCTTCCTATCAGTTTTATCATGGTTCACTAGCACCCCAAAATTCATTTTAGATGGTTATTCCTCTTTTCCCAGTATAGGCTTAATGGTTTCCCAAAATGTTTCTGGGTAGTAATGATCAGTATTATGAGATAAAGCAAAACAGGTTTCTTTGCTCTAGTACTTCTCAGATTCTCTAATATGTGAATGTGTGTTGAGACTCTCCTAGAGGGAAATGGGCTGTGAAATATTTTGGACAAGTTTTCTTGATCAAGGAAACATTTGCTTGCTAATCATTTCAAAGAACCAGTGGCCCAGCTGGGACAGTATTGGGAAACAGTGCTCTGTGGCTAAGAGTTCCCAAATAACCTATTCATTTACCTGCCAACCCAAAGCTTTCTGTTTCTTTCCTTTTATGTTTTTTCCCTACAAATTTAGCTACTCAGTTAATTTCTACTCTTTGTAACATTCTTTTTTTGTCTGTTAATATCTATGGGGTATTAAATTTTGATGAGCTCAGGTGCAGAAATACTAATGCATGAAAATGCAGAAGTCAGGTAATTCTTTTTAAAAATTAAGATTGACCAGAACCTTCTGTGCACATTGTGGAAGAAACCACTTAGCACATATGAAGAATGTGGAGATTGCTTCAAACATTATGGGGAGGAGAATGCAGAAAAAGTTGGGATGTAGAAAAACTGGTTTAGAGCCAGTGTATGCTCAATCTGACAACACTAAGTTTAGGATGTCATCTACAGATGATAAGGTTTGATTTTTCTTCATTTGGTTAGCACTGAGCTAAATGCTTTGCACGCATTATCTCATTCTATCTTCACTACACCCACAAGATGGGAACTGTCATTGTCCACATATTACCAGCAGAGTTTCTAGACCGCAGAGGAATTATGAACTTGTCCAAGGTCTTAGAATGAGAGAGTGAAAGAGGCAAAATCCAAATGCAGGTGGTTAAACTCTACAGTCTACTCTCTCAACCAGTATCCCAGCCCCAGCTCTTCACAGAGGGTGACAGACCAATTTTCCCATATTAGTTTAGAACTCCCTAGGTAAAACTTCCATAGGGATCTGATATAGCTTTAGGGATGATAAAAGTCATATGTAACCCTGGTATTTTCTGATTTGAAATTGGGAGCCTTGCTATTTCAAAATAAACATAATGCTATTACAGATGTAATTGAAAATTTACAGCCCAAACTCAGGTATAATTTTGCTTAGGAATTGGACCAATATAATAAAACTCTTTTCTATAAATAAGGAGAGAAATACCTGTTCTCTAAAAGTGTTCATAATCTGACTTTAGTTTAAATTTTGAAAACCACACTAGAGAGAATGTTTGGCATGGAGCCAAGTCTTTGAACAGCCACACTAACCTTCTATTTCACATTGTGCTGTAAAAAGTGGGCTCTGACCTTCCGAAGAAACTGTGAAGGACCATTTTGTGCCTCTGATTTTTTTTTTTATTCTTCATCTCAAGTCTTCTTAATTACATTTTCACATGAACTCTGTGGGTATTAAATGAAGCTGGGTGCATTCAATATTTCTAGTCAATCTTCTCAGAAAATTGGTTCTGTTTTCTTTGGGCAATCTGTAGGCAGTTTCTGATGCATTTCTATGCCATTCTGATGATGTATTTTCCCAGCTATTTTTCTTAGGGGACAAGTCTACTATTTTATTTTTAAAGATAAAACTTTCCAGAGTCATCTGAATCCATCACACTATTTAAAAAATATCGTGGTCAACCTTGTCAAGGCTGGAGGAACCCAAAGGAGAAAATCTTAGTTCTTTCTCTCTTAAGTTGTTCTTGCTGCCTGTTGAGTGTTAAACTTCTAACAGGGTTTCAGTCACTTTGCAAAGAAATATTTCCAGTATGTGTCCCCACCAGCAGAAAGCCAAAGCCTGCCATTTCCTTGGCTTTCCAATTTGACAGTGATGCGTACATATCTCTGACCCAATAAAGACATATGGCGCTGTGTGTTCCTGGGCTCGGAGTGTCTCCATAGGTCATTCCATTATTTTCATTTATCACTCACAGTAGTAACCCTTTTAAACTGTACCTTTCAGGGCTCCATTTGCTGCAGAAATTGAGCTTCTCTTGGCTCCCTTGATTGACAGGGTACTTTTAAAAGGATTAGTGTTGATAGACAAGAAGGCAAAAAAGATTTTTCTTTTCTTCTTCTTCTTTTTTTTTTTTTTGGTATAGTCCTAGGCTGGATCTTCAAATGAAGTTGTGGATTGGCATAAAAATTATCCAGTACGTAGGTTTAAAAGTAAAATGTTAGTTACTCAAATTTGAAAAGAAAATAAAACCTAGTAATCACAGCATGTTTTGTGAGATTTTCTTCACACAAATACTTCCCCATAGATGAGGGGATTTAATAATCCAACAACTTGTGATAAATGTTCACTCTAAGCTTGATTTCAGCATGTATTCTTAAGTGGGGGAAGATGGACGAGAAGCAATAGGGAATTCATTTGTGAATGACTGGTATCGATCGTGGAGATAACTGACCAACATCAGATGTGGCAGAAGCATGTGTTGAGTTCAGGCATCATTCTGAAGCATGGCTAATTCCAAGGCCACCCCGTTAGATGCAGCCCATTTCTTCTGCAATCCCAAATCTACATTTCCGTTTGATTCAGCACCAGGAGAATTAACTCACTGACACAAAATCATAGAATTTTACATGATTGCATTAGCAGATGGTACAAACAAAATGAACCTGGCAATTTTAATCAGAGAACATTTAAAAGTCTGCTTTGAGCAGAAATGTTTTCAAAAGAAATGTTTATGTTTTTGAAGAGTAGCACTGAGCTCTTGAAAAGGTGTAAATCTGATTATGTCAAGTTGGATTGCAAACTGGGCGACAGTTTCTCCCTCCTCATGCTCTCTCCCC